TTAAACTCCACATGAGAAAAATGATGTTACATTTTAATCCAGTAATTACTAATTAAACGTAGGCATACGTTATCACTAAATTTAAAATCTTTAGCTCAAATAAAGATACAGAAAGCACCAGCGAAATTTCAATTTTTGGTCTTTTCCGGTTCTTGAGATCGCTCTTCCGTCAAACCTAGCCGCTGCGGAGACTGATTTGAACGTGGAGAACAGAAATCCGAATACACACATACCGATAACATCGCCAGAATATGCGTTCTTGCATTTGCATAAAGGCGAAAAGACACACAAACAGCCATTTTCCTTCAGTCTTTGCTCTACTAGAGCACTGTTAAAGCATTTGTTGGTCACGGGGACGTCTGTTTCTAAACATTCCACGTGGGACCTATGTGACTGGGCAAGCTGGAACTTTGAGATTTTTATGGCTGAAACAATCACAGCCGAACAATTGATTTTCAACCTTATTGTGCTTTGATCAATAATTCAATATTCTTATTCATTCTACTTTTCCATCTAGAGTGCGTGGAATTAATTTAACACGAAAATTCTATTTTTGGTCAAGGCAAAACTAATTTTTCGATACAGCCTTCTGTGAACACTTTGTGTTCCACCTCAGGCGTTAGATCTCATTTTTGGCTAATTTTTCAATTTTCAAGCGAAGGGTTTGAAAGATTAGCATTTTTTATGTTGACGCACACTTGCCATGAATGGCAGCTAGTCGCCAAAATGCACAAAAGCACGCTCTTATTTGATGCATTTCTAAAATGACGAATTTCGGACAACTGTCGGTCACTGCTGAGGCACTGCGCTGTTTTTACAGAAGATTCGAAACTCGTTTGCAAGCAGTCCAATACCATTCACGAACTGATAAGAAAGCTATGGTTTTTCTGCAGCTTTAAAAGCGAAATTAATGAATAATTTGCAAAAGATTGTGTTAAACGGATTGATGGATATGTCATTATGCGAATATTTCTGGGGGACAATACCAAAAGATGCTATTTGCACCGCTGAAATTAATACCCGAGCCCTTTGCAGAGTTGGTTTTTGAATTTTCACTGACAATAAGCTTTTGTTTTTAATGATCTTGTTTTATTGTGAGAATTTCATTGCAATCACCCAGCGCAACAACTCCCTAGACTAATGCCTCGCACCTACTGCGAATTCCCTGATAGACAGTGCCGCAAGAAAAACAGTGCTCGCACTAACCTCAGTGCTTAGCTGAAGCAGTGCTTCATTTCGTCGGTAATGTTCAGGGCCAAGTGTTTTCAGGGGGATAGTGGCGGTGGCCTAATGACACAACTGGACGATGGCCGTTGGGTGCTGCTTGGCGTTGCTTCAATTGCTACCGGCTGCACGGAGCTGCTGAAAAAAGAAAGTGTCGCAAAGGGACAAGTCCATACGAGTGTTGCGTTTTATGGAGCCGATATTGCCCACTTCACTGGTTTCTTCTTACCGCTGGTGCATGTTTGATTGTGGCAGGCGGTGTTGGAAATGTCGCCTCCTAATAACTCCCAAATTCATTTCTGGATACTTTCATTTTCGTATTCAGTATAACCAGGGCTTTTTCAAGAACGAAGTGTCTTTGAAAAAATTTCGAAGGAACATGGACGAATGACCGCTCAATTTACTTCAGTTTTAGAAACTATTAACAAGTTCGTACTAAAACGTTTAATACTTTTGTTCAAACTGAGCATTAAAATATGAAGGAAATAAACAACGCTACAAAATTTCCACCATTCGACATACCTTCTACATGAATTCTCCGGCTGGAGATTACGAAGCACTTCTTGGTTGCCATGTTGGCTCTGCAAAATAAACATGAGACAACAAAGAAAAAAATTAAAGCAGGGTTTATATAATTATGTAAAGAAAAACTGATTAGCCGGTGCACCGAATGCCGATGGAGAGATGCGTTTTTTGCACAGTTCCCCGCGGATATTTGTCACTAACTGTATTGTTCTTCCGCCAAATGCTTCTAGCTGAAAGAGCTGAGATTGGCTACCACGACCCTAAGAAAATACCCTCCTAAAATTCCAGTTTTTCTGGTTACCAAGTTAACAATTTACTCGCCAAAAAATTTTTATGGGCCCGTACTTGGGAGCCACGCATATTTGGGAATCGGGCTTGGAAGAATTAAGCCCCGTATGGACGGGGAAAATTCCTTAAAATTTCAACTTTCCGGCTTTTTTGGTTCCCGAGTTGGTAAACTAGTTGCGAAAAACTTTCACGGGCCTGTACATAGAAATCACATGGGCAAGGGGGTCCATTTGGAGCTGCAGACCCCTATATGCATGTAGGTTAAGTTCCTAAAGTTCCAGTTTCAGTCTTGCAACTTTTATGGGTCTCGAGATGAAAACCGGTACAGACCACATACAGACACACACACACACACACACCGCCTCTTGATAATACGCGTTCTTGCACTGCATAGATGCAGTTAAGTTGGAACGCACCAAACTTACCGGTGCGATCATGCATTTTTGCATCAAACCCGAAGTAATTAGGTTAATGGATAAATGGTTGTTTTTCACACTTTGCGTGCTCCCTGCCATAAATCACCGCAAATTTTGCATAAACGGAAATAAACAATTGTCGCTTAGTGGTCGTTCTTTGGAAATGACCTAGCTGTTCAAGTAATTCCCCCGCCAAAAAATTTAGGTGTCGGTGCAGGAGAACCATGCATACGTGGAGGCTGACTTGGGAACCTATAAGTTGTATTTGGATGGGGAATATTCCAAAATTTTACCTTCCATGGTTCCCGAGTTAGCAATTTTCCCGCCAAAACTTTCACATGCTAGTGGTTGTGAACCGCGGACACGTAAGGGCTGAATTTGAAATATTTACCTCATGGATATTGAGAATGCAAATTTTCACCTCGCTATCTTCTCTGCTTCCCGAAATCGCTTTCCCTCCAAAAAATCTGCATGTCTCCTTGGGGCGTTCGTGCTTGGGACCCGGGTGTACGAGGGCGGAGATATTAAAATGGTAGCGTCGCACGTGGTGTGGGCACATACTCCCGAAGTTTCAGCCTTCCAGCTTTTCCGGTTCTCTAGTTGAAAGTAGGTGATAGAAAGTACAAACATACACACAGCCTCTTGTCACAAAGCGTTTTTATGCGTTTTTACATACATGTAAATTGCAAAAACATA